TATAGGAACTCCTGAGCTCAGCAGCTGAGGAAAGCGATTACATATATTCCTACTCCAACACTGTATAGGAAACTCCTGAGCTCAGCAGCTGAGGAAAGCGATTACATATATTCCTACTTCAACACTGTATAGGAAACTCCTGAGCTCAGCAGCTGAGGAAAGCGATTACATATATTCCTACTCCAACACTGTATAGGAAACTCCTGAGCTCAGCAGCTGAGGAAAGCGATTACATATATTCCTACTCCAACACTGTATAGGAAACTCCTGAGCTCAGCAGCTGAGGAAAGCGATTACATATATTCCTACTCCAACACTGTATAGGAAACTCCTGAGCTCAGCAGCTGAGCTCAGCGATTACATATATTCCTACTCCAACACCGTTATTTTTCCAAAAATATTCCCCTCATAATAAAAGCGAGCACGACGTAGTTGTTATTACTATTAGGGCATAGGAATCGTATCTGAGCAACTGTTTGTGTCGAGAAAGGCTTAGTAGTAACCATTGATAAACAACAATGAGGAAGAATATAATAATTTTAATGGAGTTTCACGGGCGGCCCTAGTGATATGAAAAACACTGGTGGGAAATATATTTCACGACTACTGCATATCACCGCGTTGAATATCGCGTTTTTCACTACACGTAAAACTCCAACATTTAATTTACTATTAATTGTCGTGAGTATTGATGAACCAAACCCGTAGGAAATAAGTGGAATCTAATCTTATAACACCTCTTACATCATCAACGACTAGCGCAGCTTGTGCTATTAGCTGAAGATATAAATAGAAGTGAAATAACACAAAATGAGGATACGAACCTAGGAGATCTCAGCTGAGATCACCACATTAATTTCTATTTATTTCACTATTGAAGATTCAACACTTTTAATCTCGAGTGCAGTGCTGCAAAAAAATGTTCGCTCTCCTCAGCTGAGCTCAATAGCTTCCTCACTAATCATAGAATTTCACATACGACTTGGAAGAATATATACGATAAGTGTATTGAAACTAACAAGGATCCTCCAAAATTTCATCAGAATTTTCATATTCTCACCAACACCTGTGATGGAGCATGTACATATTTTACCACACTGCTCGAGTGCATGAGTGTATAATTCGAAACTGTCATTGGTGTTGGGAATCGGGCGCGCGCTATCGACAATTATGAAACCTCAGGTTTCAATTTGCATAACGGCTCGTCAGCCGTCCGAACTGTAGCTACTGTAGCGAACTGTAGCTCTTTAACCTTCGCACTGTAATATAGCCAATACTACGTACCAGTGTTCCGCCCGTCTCTTTGCGGGCTCTGTTTATTTGTTTGATTGGTTAAGGTTGATGAACGTTCCACTTGTGACTCGTATAATCTACCATGTCAAACGCGTATAATTCTGTTTCCGCAAAAAAAGCCGTCCGAACTCAGCAGGTGCCGTCGATAGTGGCACGCTGCAAGAATATACAATCGTCCAGAACTGTCCAAAACTGTACTCGATCGAAGGACCTCCATTGGTTCAAGGTTTTGGAGTTCTGGACGCTGCCTATTCAAGCCTCCCCTCACCAATTCCCAATATAAACATTCAGACTCAACAAACTTTCCGTTTAACAACATATCTTACAAGTTTTGGCTTACAACTGTTCCGTCTCTCTTCCGATACCCATCATAAGCATTGTGAGCGTTCTTGGAAAGCAAGAACTTCTCTCAACTCTTCTGTATTATCGCCTATGGCACATACCTCCGCTAGCCAACGTTCCTCCAGTTGTCACTGGTTGTTTTATCTCTCTGAAACTCCTTTCAAGCTCAACCCCGTGGACCCGTCTAAGACTATGTTTTGTTATCTCCTCCAACTCTCGTATGTCCGAAATTCGGGACCATTGATGACTGATTTATCAAAGGAGACAATCGAGTCAGCATCAATGACTTGAATTACTTGTTTCCACGAAGGGGAATCATCTCTCAATGGTGTGCCAAGCGGTCTCGTCAACCGATCAGAAACATTATATTGAGAAGGGATATGACGAAATTGCAAATCAATATTAGGACGACATTCAATAATATCAGAACATGTAGACTTAATTGCGAGTAATCTAGTAAGCTCTGGCTTAGGTGATCGTGAGCACATCTTCTGGCCGTGGCCTGGTAAGACTGCTCTCAAACGGAATAATGTAATACTACTATCACCGAGGATGACAGACCTCGTGACTTTGGATCTCGATGCCATGACAATGCTATACAACTGCTCAACACCGAGGCGCATTGCTTCCAATTCTCTCCTGGGAATCGTGCCTCCCGGAGTCACACTAAACTTAGCGAAGAGACGCGCACCCGGGCCGACTCGAATATCAATAGCAATGCAGGCCTCAGAGGCATCGACGAAGACAAATAAGGTAGACACATCAAGATAGCGAGGGGGAGAATACAATCAGATTGCAGGAATGAGTTACATGCAGTAATGGTACTCAATATAATAGATGCCGTCTCCTCGTCCACAATGTCCGTACCGTCTTCGAAGTCCTTCCTCCTCTGGTTCACTCGCTCATGAGCCAGCCGAGCCGACCATTTGAGCTCCAAGGACACTTCCGCGAAAAGACCCATGGGGTCGAAGAACTTGCCAAATACTGATCTCAGGGCAGACTCCGTGACCTCGGACTCCTTCGTCAATCCTATCTGGCGCAACCGCACATCGATCACGTCAATTCACTCGCCACAGAGCCAGTCGTAACCAAGCTACACAAGTTCGACAGTGTCAAATTGGCACCTTCTCAGATGTTACATTCACGTTTGCCAGAGTGACATTCAACTTTGTCAATAAACGATCAGTTTGTCAATACACGTTTAAGTTTGGCAATAAACGCAAAAGTTTGACAATAAACGCTCAAGCATAATGTTAAACTTGAAAGCTCTACGTTTTGTGATGGTCGACACAACTATTGTCAATAATATTCTTATGCTGTAGCCAAAGCATTATGCTCCTTTAGCCGATTAGCACGTCCAACTGCACATGCGTGCAGAGCTCCTGTGGACCCAGGGTGTGAACACCCTGTGAGGCTGATAGCTCAATCCTACTCCTGCAATGCCGAGCAAGATTCTTTGTTCGTCGGGTTGTACTCCCCCATCACAATTTTTGGTAGTTACGTATTGTTGCCTCCCCATTACCCATCCGAATCCTGGGAGCTCGAGCCCTAAATGTCCCACTTTCTAGCCTCGGCGCACCGTTTCACGCTTGTTGTCTGCATCGTTGTCTCCTGATGCTTTCTTCATAAATACCAAATCCACGGCGATAAATGGCGTGTTTGGCGATCTGTAACCTCTGTGACTTATACTCTCACCTTATATTATCATGTTTTCTGCTGGCTCACCTAGGGAAGACGAGTATATCTTCCAGTCATCGCATTCGGCGTGCCAAGATGGCGCACAAGTTCATACGTGCGACGTGGCCCGCACTCGTGACGCGATCGATTTCGTTGTAGCATAGAAGGAGCTCATTATAGAATATTAATCAGTCAAGTAAAGTAATCTGACCGTTATTATGCTACACTCTCTAACCCTCATTGCTGCTCTGTTCATCGGCAGCTGTGCTCATGATGAAGCTGATCTGTCGTTGGCTATATCAAATGACGTTCCGTGAGTTCTCCCACTCGTTTTTACGGCATTCTGTTTTCGGTAGGTATAACAGCATGGAGAATTACAAGAGCTTAACAGCATTGGGTGAGAGGCTCCAACTAAATGAAGATATGATTATCATATTATGATAGGTGATCCGCCATTGTATGAACGCCCCGTTGGTTCGTGTACAGTTAGCGGAGGCGTGCTTCATGATTGCCGTTGCAGCGCGAGACCCGAAGTAGCTATCGTCGGCTTAGTACGAATATATCTCGATATTTCTCGCAGTGAAGCGTTCTTCTCAGAATGGCACAAACGTGGTGGTACTCGTCTGTGGGCTAACATGCGGTAGAAGAATTTTAAGAGAAGCTGATGGCGTGGGAGCTCTAGGAGGACATCATTGCCCCTCCTCCTCACTTGGCCCGACTGCATGTCGATCAGGGCGTTGCTGCGTTACGCCCAACCCCGTGAGTGATAGTGATGCTGATGATTTCATGAGCTGAGATTCTCATCCATCTTAGAAATGTCTACCTCCTATGCTCGCCGTCGCCATGGGGGAATACGGCACTATATGCATGTATAAGAAGTGAAGATCACCTCGAACACCATCTTCGGGTGTTACCATCTTCAAGTGACGCCCTTTTTTACGATGTGATCTGTCAATCCATCGTTACAATACACAATCACTCTGTCTGCTGCACGACATGGATATCCACTCAGTTTTTCAGCCCTCATAGGCTTCAAATGGGGATAAACTATCTCTTTTTTTGTACGCGAGATTGCCCCATCTGTTGAGGAAAGATAGAGGCAAGTTATGTCTGTGCTGCATCCGATCAACGACTTTGATATGTATAATCTATTACGCAATTCCTATTATCTAAGTTAATACTTCGAATATTCTGAGTAGCTTAGGAGTACGTACTTGGGTTTCAATCTCCGATTTTTTCAATCATCATCATTTTTCTGGTTTACTGGTAAGACTGTTGATTTGCACGGCACTCACTGGTTTGACTGCATCGACAGCTTCCCCCGGAGAGTGACCCTTGGCTGCAGGAAGGGTTGGTACCGGCAAAGCCGATTCACTTTTCATATTCCGCACGGAACTATGTTCTGAGCGCACTCCCTGCTTATTGTCCGGGTTACAACTGTATCGATCAACACAACCAAGTAGTCGCCCGATAATATAAGACTCATCAGGCGAGTTGATTACTTTAATCATCCCAATGCTCCACTCCTTGACTCTCATCGCTGCTCTATTCATCGGTAGCTGTGCTTATGATGAAACCGCCCTATCGTTGGCTATATCAAATGATCCGTGAGTTCTCCTACTCCTTTGCTTGCAACAATCCTTTCTCGATAGGTATGCCACCGTGGGAGAATACGAAAGCTTAGCTGTTTCGAGTGGGATGCTCCAACTGAAGGGCGTTATAATTGATGAGCTTCAGGTCCATTGTACGAGCGCCCCAGTGGTTCGTGTACAGCCAGCGGGACCATGCTCTTTTACTGTTACTGCCAAGGAGGCGAAGATGCTGTTGGTGGCATTGTAAACTCCCACCTCGACGTTTCTGTGATGACGTATTCTTCCCAGGACGGAGGGAAAGTAGTGGCATTCGTCTGTGCTCCATCATGCGGTAGAAGGACTTTGAGAGAAGCTGATGATGGCATCAGAATGTTAGGAGGAAAAGGGGGAAGTTGCCCAGCCTCCGCACTGGGTCGGACCGAGTGTCGATCAGGGCGGTGCTTCGTCGTGCCTAACCCCGTGAGTGATGATGATGTTGCCGAGTTGACAATGCCAACTTCACTTTGTGGATTATTGTTTGAGAATTTCAGGGATGCCCATCAGGCATGTACGGCTATAACATGGGGGACTTCGGTGCTATATGCATGTATAAGAAGTGATGGTCATCTCGAAGAGCTCACCTCCAGATCATCATTCTGGAGTATCCCATCTCGAAGTGGCGTCCTTCTCTCTATGTGCTATGTCAATCTGTTGGCACAGTCAGTCCGTCAGCCTTCCCACGTTTTTTCACTCAATCCGTCAGTCTTCATAGGCTCGTTTGCTCGTGATGGTATTTTCCAACTCTGTCCTCCTCGTGAACATATGTGAACTGTGAAGTTCACAGGTATATCGTTCGAGTCGTGCTACGATCGTGATATATCAGTCGACTTCCTCTTTCCTATATTCCTGATCGGACTTGTTGAGAGCCCGTGAAACTACGAGTTGAGTCTGCGATGCGTACGATTAACGATTCTGTTCCGTGAAGCATATCATGAGGTTCGTAATTTCGGAGCTCTTCATGCGCCAAACATCTTACCTCCTTCGGTGGTTCACACTTGGAATTTGATTTTCCGATTTCTTCTGATATTTAGTCACCAAAGGAGTGAATGTTGGGTTGCACAAGAGTTAGTTATCGATAGCTCTTCCAAGAGAATGACCGTTCAAGAGTCAGTGAACGATGGAACTAGCCGCAACGTCGCTCAGCTGTGTCGGACGATAGGCATATGGTCAACTAATGTGTCGGTGACAAAATGGAAATTTTGGAAATTCTTGTTAGTTTCTGGGCACTTCTGGCCGCCTTCGTATATGAACCCCTAGGGAAAGCGAACATAGTCTATTCCAACACTGTCGCTTACTGAGCAACACTAAGTGAATTGCTTGGATCACGCGTTGAGCTTCAATCTTTTCCCTCCTACAATAGGAGGGAATAGATTGAGGCCGACTGTCGGCCGCCAGCATGTCTGCTGTTGCCTCAGCAACAGCTAAGACCTGGTATTGCCAATGCGCCTCGCGTAGAAGTCTCATGCTGGGATGCCTGTGGAGGACTTTTTCTGATTTTTTATCTGTAAGTGACTACGTGCATCGCGAAATTTTTCTAGGATGAGTGATAATAAACCACTAATCCCTATCGAATAGAGATATTTCCCATTGACGTATCTCCTGAGATTCTCTGTCGCTGAGAATAATGAGAAGGATAAGTGCGACTATGCTGGAGTGAAGATGAGTCAGCAATATTGCATTCGCGTCGAATCCGAGAAAACTCTACAGACCCAATAACTTAAGCTCATTATAGGTAAGGTGTCAATAATAAGCATTAGAATATACACATTGAATGACTGATGTTATAAACACAAGACTGAAATTGATCAGAAAACAGATGGAAAGATCAACAAAGGCATCTTGTCTGAGGCATGTAGACTATCAAAAAGAGAGAAGATCAGAGGTCACAGTTGCATGGCACATCAGTTGCCGAACAGACGTTGGGCAACTTATAAGTCATACAAAAGCTGCCAGGAGCAATGCTTTCGCAGTATTGATCACATCCTCTAGCTCCAATCTCGGCGGTGGTATCGGCCAGGGTACTGCTTATAGTATTAGAGATAGTCATCGAGTCAGTACTTGTCACGTAATCAGTAGTAGACGCAGCTTCGGTAGTGATCACGAGCTCAGTGGTGATCATCGGCTCAGTGGTGATCATGGGTCCAGTGGTCATCGTGGGTTCAGTGGTAATCGCGGGCTCGGTAGTGGTCACTGGCTCCTGGGAGGTCGTAAACTCAGTGGTAGTTTCGACCGGTCTCTGGCTGGTCGGTAAATCACCACAGTAGCAATGTATATCACTTCTGAAGCAGACAGGAGGAGTTTGCCAATGCTTGCAGTAGGAGCCGGGGTCGTAGAAATCGCAGTATGTAGAAGTTGTGACGCCTGTCCCATTTTGTTCTTTATTTTAAGCTTTGTGTCAACGCTAAGGCTAGTCAACGAATTACTGCCTTGTTGCATAAGTATTGCTATAATCAAGTTTTCCCTTTAGTATGTCTGAGCAGCTGAGTTCCCAGTCCACGGCGAATCACAACAACTTTGGTACCCTTCAGCAGGATGTTAACGTGCACACTACGGACGAGGCTTCTGGTTCTCAGCCTGGCTTGGCTACTACTGGGCAGGATGAGACTTCTCACCGTGAGAGGTCTAGATCGCCTGAGGTTGTCTTAGATGCAAGCATGGCTCGTCGTTTGCTTTCTGAGAAGCTAGGTGTTGAGCGTGACTTGTTGGTGTTTATGACCTCTACTGAAGCTAATGCTCTTATAGACTCAGTTGACGATTTGTCCCCTCGTTTGGCGCTGCGAAGGTGCTGGGCAGTGGCTTCGTCTGAAGCTGGATCTGTTAGGATGATGGGTCGGTCAGCGCAGCCACCGACTCAAGGACCAGTCTACCATGCCGAGTTACCGGTGGGTTCCAAGACTGGCCCTTCTAGCACCGTCTCCTTTGATCGACTTTATCACGATTCTCAGGATCATCGTTCTGACGTCAAGACCATGACTGCTATCGGTCAGCTTCCGATCCCGGGTGATAAGGTGTTTCAAGGTCGAGATGACGCAAGAAGTGTCTCCTATTTCTGTCGAGAGCTTGCTCTGACTGGTCAGTTGTATGCTTTGAATAGTGAGACGATGTTTCGTTATGTTCTTAGATGTCTATCCAGTACTGTGAAATCTGAGTTGTATGACTTTCTGGAGCTACAGGGTCTACTCATGGGAGCAGACTCAGTGGCCAGACTCGTCAAGGTCGAACAGTATCTGGTTGGCACTTATGGTATTACTAATGATGCCGTGAGGTATCGTGCTCGTCTCGTACGGTGTGTTCAAGGGAACACTGAGAGTATGGGGAGCTATGTGAGCCGTCTTCGTGCTCTGTTGGTAGAGGGTCGCTGTATAGGCATCCAGACGAGTCCATCAGAGACCTTGGCGAGATTCACTGAGGGTATGCGTCCTTCGTATAAGAAGATTGCTACTACGGTTTATCCCCATGTTCGGGATGTTAATCAACTTGCTGAGAACCTGATCCTTTGGGAGGTCCATCAAGCAGCTACCACGACTGGTATGAGTGGTAGTAAGGATGGAGTGAAGGTTCTGAGCGATACGTACGATGATAGTCAGCCGGTTGTATCTCCGAGTCTAGTTGAGTCTCCGCAGCGACCGACTGATTGTGGTGGTTATAATTCTACTGACCAGCAGAAATCTGCTGTTGTCAGACAGGGTAATGAACAGGTTGCTAAGAACAGGAAACCTATTAAATGTTGGACTTGTGGTGGGCCGCATCTCCGTAGGAACTGCCCTTTAAGTCGACCTTCTGAAGGTGCTGTTCAACCTCAGAAACAAGAACCTGGTGGAGCTCCAGTTCAGTCCAAGAACTTTGAGTTGGTTGGTGTGCTTATGGACGAAGATGATCGTATACGAGAGCTCAAGATGGGAGACCCTTTGTTTCGGCTCGTGCTAAGGGAGCACGGTGGTCGAGGCGCCCGTGTCGAGTGTTTACTCGATACAGGAGCACGTGGTTGTGGTTATATCTCAAGGGCTTTGTTTGAGGGTCTTAAGTCTGAGGCCGTTATAACTGGAGAGTTGAAGCCCTGTGTTGGCGTTCGCTTTGGTAATAACCTGGCCAGTGGAGCTGATGGTGAGATTTTACTCACTATTGATGGTTACGGTGAGTTGCCCTTTAAGGTCCTCCCATCGTTGGAACCCGATGTTATCCTGGGTCTATCGGCAATGTCTCGATGTCCAGGGTTGAGACAGTTGCTATTGGGGTATTTGGCTGATATGCCTAATTTGTTGACGTTTGAGGTGGTTCAGCCAGTTGATGAGTGCCGTGTGATCAACCTTCCTTCGGATTCTGTATTTGTTAACCAAGCTAGTGATGGTTGTTATGAAGTGCGATGTCCTATTTTGGAAAGTGGTCGGATATTGCCATATGTAGAGGCACCTAGACGTCGTAGTCTGTGGAAGTCCACTATAATACATCGCTGGATAGCAGCCGCAGCAAAGGATGGTCGTTGGTCTGAAGTGTCACCCGCTGAAGCTGTGTTTGTGTCTGAGGTTGTATTGGTCTGCAAGGACCCACAAGTTGGGATCCAGGATCCTGCCTCTCTTTCTGATGCGCAGATCAGGAAGCTCTATCGAGTGACTCTTGATTGTAGGAGAGTTAATAGCTTGAAGCTTTATGAGCAATCATCTGGTCATTATGTGTGGCTCCCTGACCGTGATGTGGGTTGCGCAACTCCAAGTGAGGTAACTCAATCTCAAGCGTCGGCCTTTTCGTTGTTAACCAAATGGCCTTTGACCTGCCGTGGAGTTTATTTCAAGTTGGACATCTCCGATGCTTTCGGGTCGGTGAAGATTGCGAAGGATCTTCGGCGATTGTTCTGTGTCCGTACAGCCGATTTGGCTGGAAACACTAAACTTTGGTGTTGTAATCGTATTCCTCAAGGTTGGAGGTATTCACCTACCTATTTTGCTAAGGTTATGGAGGTATTCCTATACCGGGTACGTCGAGTGCTTGAGCGAGAAGGCGTGGTGGTTCATGTGGTCAACTTTCAGGATGATGTGCTCGGTGGTTGTCCTGATCGCCGAAGTGCTGAGCTGGCTATGCGTATAATCATAGAGGAGGCCTCTAAGTGTGGCCTGAACATCCGTCCGGAGAAGTGTGAACTTGGGACCACTGTGTCGTTTTGTGGTCTACGGATCAGGGGAACTATGGTGATGCCCTTGGAGCGTTCGCCTTTGACTAAGGCGGTGGTTGAAGAAGCTCTTCGTGATTTCCAAACCCAGCGTGATGAGGTTGTTCGTCGGAGTATCGTGCGCCGTTGGTGTGGTAAGTTCCAATGGTTGGCCCGATGGCTTCCTAGTGATCTACAGAGCGTGTTAGCTCGTCTTCATAAAGTTGATGTTATGAGCGATGACGCTATGGATCTGATGACGATATTGGCCGATGCATACTTTGAAGGTTTGGTGGCGTTACATGTTCTGGGCTCTGATGCTGACTTTAAGATTATTGGCTCTGTTATTGTTGCTGACTGTAATAGAGACGGTTGGGGTGCTGTTCTCTTTAATGTCATCGAGTATCCAGAAAGATCGGGATTGTTACCTCGTGCGGTTACTAATGATGCTCCAAGTGAGTGGTTGCGAAGCGCTGATGTCTTGTTGAGGGCTGTTCTTGCTGAAATGAAGGTTCACCTTCCTGAGGGCAAGGCGGCGATGATTCTGCCTGTTTCACTTGGTGGTGGTGTCTTGGGAGAAAGAGAGCGTAAGCGGAGTAGCACCTATAAGGAGAGAAGGTGTCAGATTCTTGCTGTGCATAAGTTTCTACCGCTTCTGCACAGCCCTTTGGTAGTTGCTTCTGACAATAAGAACAGCGCGCTGTGGTGGCACTGTTTCGAAGATGAGTATGCGTCCACGGAGGAAGACTTCAGACTGGCTATGCTTTTCCAGCGACATGTTACGGGTATTTGCTGGCTGCCTCGTGATTGTGTTTCTGTGGTGGATCGGTTGGCGAGAGAGCCTTCTTTCCCTGTTGAGGAACCTTCTCCTTTGACAGTTAATGATGATAATGACGATCCTCTTCGAGTCATGTTGAATGATGCTCTGGGATCTGATGTACTCAGAGTCGCCGTCGATGAGGTCCCGTCTGAAGGAGTCAGATCTTCTGGTTCTGGTGGTGATGTTTTTACGGTGGCCGACTTCGTTGGGTCCGATTATCTTGATCTACAGAAGGTTAAGCTGGAGCAGCTACACTGTGTTGAGACTGCCCAGTTTGTGGATAAGCCGGGGTTCTGCTCCTATGATGGAGTATTGTATCGTGTTCAACGCTTTGATCACTTCGGTCGGTTAGTCAAGCAAGTGGTTGTGCCTAAATCTATGAGGGCTGATCTGGTGTCAGCTCTGCATTCAGAAACACACCTGAGTGGCCGACAGCTGAAGTGGTGGCTCTCTTCCTTCGCATGGTGGCCTAAGATTGGTGTGCTCTGTGTCCGAGCTCGAAGTTCATGCCCTGTGTGTCAGAAGATCGATGATGGTGATCGAGTACAGATTCCTAGTGGTACTAGACGTCCCTCGAGGACTATGTCCCCATGGCGACGTGTAGGAGTTGATCTGCTTCATTTGGGCCATGGTGGGATGATTCTCACTATGTGTTGTGACTTTTGTTCTTATATGGACTTCGAGCCTGTTGAGGACCGTTTGCACTCGACTCTTATCAAAGCCATGACGACGATATGTTCAAGGTGTGGGTGGCCTTTATATGTTCAGAGTGATTCTGAATTTCGTAGTGATGAGATAACTGGCTGGGCCTCTCGTAGTGGTATTCGTAAGTGGACTTTTGGCTGGCCTAATCATGGACAGTCAGGTGGTTGGTATGAGAGGAGGCATCGTATGGTTGTAGATGTCTTACGAAGGTGGACTCTGGCATCTGGGGATCTTTGGCATGATCCGGTCGCCCTTGCATATGCTCGATGGGTTATTAACCATAGTGAGATTGGCTCTTCTGGTATATGTCCTCAGCTTGCTATGTTTGGCAAGGTAATTACATTGCCTTGCATGAGAGCTCCTGAGCCTACGGAGAAAGAGGATGAGCCCGTTGGTCCTGCTAGGACAGTTGCTGATCTACTTCAACTGGCTGGAGAGATCGGGCCGCAGTATCGTATTGTGGTGGCGCAGTTATTCAACACTTGGTTGGACATGCGTGAAAAGGTCAATCCGGTGATGAAGGTGGATCACTCATTAAAGGTTGGACAACAGGTTTATGTGTACACCAACAGGCCATCTAAGCTGGATTCCTGTTGGCGTGGTCCTTATTTTATAGTTTCGTTGCTTGGTCGAAGTGCTACTTTGAGTACGGAGCGTGGACTCGAGACCCATTATGCTGGTAACCTGAAGCGTTGTAAGGTTAGTGAAGAGAGCTCCGGGGCAAGGCCCACTAGGTTTGCAGCTCAGCGCTCGCAGATTTTGACTCGTGAGTTACTCAGAGAAGAATTCCAAGTTCAACGTGCTGAAGGCCAGTCAAAGAAGCGTTCAGCGGCTGAGGTGAATGCTGAGATTGGCAGGCTCCATAAAGTAGCCCGCCGTTAAGGGGACGAGGATGTAGAAGTTGTGACGCCTGTCCCATTTTGTTCTTTATTTTAAGCTTTGTGTCAACGCTAAGGCTAGTCAACGAATTACTGCCTTGTTGCATAAGTATTGCTATAATCAAGTTTTCCCTTTAGTATGTCTGAGCAGCTGAGTTCCCAGTCCACGGCGAATCACAACAGTACTGATCACACTCGAACGGCAATGGTGGAGTCCTTTCATCTGTTGCGAGAGTATACACGACGAGGAGTGTTAAAATGAGTAAAAAGGATAGCATGTCAAATATCAAGAACTTCCTAAAAAGATATAAAACATGTTGACCGAGAGTTCAGAGTTAGCGGATCATCACCCACATTCTCAACTATAGACTAGTTGCGAGATTCTCGTTCGGTTGGAGTTTTCGTCGCATCACTATTGTTGCGCAATTGCTTGCACAATCATTGGTACATGGATCTCTCAAAAATGGTTCAATGCGCGTAACACAAAGCCTCTTCCACATGCATCTTCGCAGTGTCACTGCATTGATCTCAGAACGTGTCGCAATCCAAGGGCACTGTCGTCGCCCAATGAGGCGTAGTATGCAACAATGAGTCTTCAAAATATCCACTCTATCTTTGAGGCTCAAAGTTTGAGCTATTCCTTGGCGAGTTTCGGTGAGAAGCGCATTCGGACTTTACTGTGAGTAACGCGCGTTAGGACGTGTCAACGCTAATCTTCAGGTTCCCGTGCATATCAACTTCTGATGGTCTGGCATAGCGGCCCCAGTCGCCGAGAACTTCGTTCAAAAGAATAGCTCTCATGCGACCTGATGTGTTAAGCATGGCCCTGAACACCTGTTCGAATGTCAATAAATTGTTCGTGACGGGGATCTTCATCTGGGGCGGCTATGTCACCCCAAGATATGCCTTAATGGAGCCTATCGCTCTATCGAGGGCAGCTATGCCACTCCAAGGTATACCATAATGCAGCTGATTTCTCCATTTGGGGCAGCTATGCCATCCCAGAGTATGCTATAATGCAGCCGATTTCCCCATCTGGGGCAGGTATGCCACCCCAGAGTATGCTACAATGCAGCCGATTTCTCCATCTAAGGCAGCTATGCCACCCCAAGGTATGCCATAATACAGACGATATCTCCATCTGGGGCAGCTATGCCACCCTAAGGGGCGTGGAAGTACCACTACCACGACCTGGGAAGTCGTCTCCAATTGTGACCCTGTCTGTCTAGACTCCTTTGTGCTTCGTTATTTGCCTTTTGATATTACTTTGATCTACTGGTGTAAGTTGCGTAGGAGATCTAGGCAAGTGCGTCCGGAATCTTATTCATTCGTAGCGTCTCGCTTTAAGTACGCGAGTTGATCGATATTCGTAGAGCAGAGGGGCTCCTAAAAATAATATAACCTACCAGTGGCACTATTATACTCTACTTTATGGCAAAATTGTACCAAAATCGATATCTCACTGCTATAATCACTGCTAGATGAATCGACTCGACTCCAGCTCTTGTGTATACTAGCTAGCTCAGTGGTACGGTAGTGGCACTAGCAGGTTGTAGGGTATTTAGCTATTGTCGATCGATATCACGAATATAAGACGGAGGTAAGTCAAGACAGTTAAGCCGAAGGTCGATAGAACCGATCTCTAACTGAACCGATCGAAAATAGATATACGAGGAACTGAGATAACTCAGATAATGGTAGAACTATAGCACAGTTATACTCGATCCATCAGACTCTTGATAATACGGTGTGAAGTCTATGGATAAAGCCTTGCACGCGAACTCATCTTCATGAACGCAAACTCATCTTCACGCACACAGACTCGATCCAGCACGCTCCCCTTAAAGCTTATAACGAGGAGCTCTACTAATCTCCTCAATATGCTCCCGTACTGTCTTCTTTCCCCGGGTCAACATACCCGGACCTGACTTCGACTGTCGAAGTTTGATATCGCCTTCACAGTATCCCTCCAACCGTTGGAGGGGTACGTCGTCTACGTGCCGATCTCGCCGTTACGGCGTAGATCCTTTCTGTCAATCTTTACGGATCCCCAATCTCCCATCTGCTTCGGCTCTGTCTGCACTGCCGGTGGAACATGTAAAGTTCGCTCTCCATTCTTGTCTAACGGATGACCTATACTATCTGTTAGCAGCTTCGCTTATTGAAGAGATTGAGCCGGATCACCCATCAGCATCCAATTACCTCAGATAAACGCTCGACCCTGACCTATACGGGTTCCCGAATATAGCAATAACGGGCAGCGGACTTCGAGGCTCTCAGGTATTCAAGGAAGTTAGTCCTCCCGATTCTCCCAAACTAGGTTTTGAACGATATTGTGGAAACGTTTCACCTCACGGTTCGAAGGATGCTAGGACAAGAATAAGTATCAATGTCGTTGATATGATCGTACAGGTGAGCCAAGATTTGAGTACAGAATTCTGTGTCACCCGTGAGTAATGTAGGTGATACGATCGCTGAAGAATTCAAGTCCACAACATTTTGTCCGAACTTCGGACAAAATGTTGTGGACTCCGAAGGCCCGACACTATCAATCTCATAGAATATCAGGATCGAATGATGGAACGGGGTACAACACTTTTCGATCAGGATAAGATTGTGGAGGTGAGCATAGCTGGTGCTACTAGTTTTTCGAGAATCACAGCTAATAACGCAACGCGTCCCATTACCCACACAGGTTACAAGAGAAGCTCCGCAGCTACGACGCTTACCAACAACAAACCACTATATCCTTGTCGAAACAAGCAGATTTGTGCCAGTCGAGCTACATCGCTCGACTCATCCTGATATGACGACTTATTTAAGAGGAGTTTTAGCATCTGATTTCGACGAAGGTACACTCTTCGTGCAATTCCTGCGGAGAAACTTTCAAATTTGATATCCCTATTCTCATCCTCGACTTTCAGAGCCCCCACACCACTTGATGACGTACTGGAAAAGTACTTCCGCCTCCATCTAGTAACTTCAACTCAAAGAGGATCCCCGAAGGTCACATGCACCTGCAAACATTCCCGAGATTGGGGATGCTGCGCTCATGGATACGCGGTCGAAATTCTCAGGGGGACTAAGCAGAGGTATGAAAAGACATATGATATGGGTATAGGTCAATGTCTGATCG